GTCTATATTTTGAAATTTTTGTACAATGGGACTACAATTTGACCATAAGTTTGTCTATATTTCTGCATGAACTGTTTAATTGTGCCATATTTTGATGGATGTCAGTTATTTACATTAGTGGGACTGCCATGTATATGTCCTCATCTTAATGTTTTCAGCATCATTTTTGCTCAGTTGCAATTTTTGCTGTTATCATTGCATGTCATTTATTTATCATTCTTTTTCTCTGGCACTCCTTATTAATTTTTTGGAATTCTCGTAATCTCAACTGAACCGGTGATCTCACCTTCTTTCCATTGGGATCCCTGGGGTTAGCTTTCTGTTTCTAATTCCACGCCTGCCATGTTTGATGGATGTCATGTTATCAGTTATCTCCTGCTAATGTTTCCCTCTTAAATGTTATTCTCCATTTTCTCTGCCTTATTGCAATTTTTCTGAACTCACCTTCAGAATTTTTGGGTCATGTCAGTTGTTGCGTTGTGGACTCTAACCAACATATCCTTTATCCATTTGCCATGTTGTAAATCGGACAATTATTTCTTTGAGGACATCTGGGTTATGATGTAAAACAACAATACAACACTTTCATAGCAAAAAGATCTCAATAAGTGGCGATCCATTCCTGGATACTAAGGCGTTAGATCAGACCTGTTTGGTCAGTATTTAGTATCCCTACCAGACTCCAAACATAACGATGCTACCCTGGGTACCCATGGCAGCAGCCCCAAAAACTGGGATAGGCGGGTACAAGAGGAGGAGGAGGAGGAGGACAACAACACTCAGAAAACAGTCTGCCTGCCTTATGTGAAGGGTTATCAGAGAAAATACAAAGGATCTGCGGTCCATATAACATCAGGACAACCTTCAAAAGCATGACAACAATTCGCAGGTATCTCTCACGAGTGAGACCCTCATAGAGAGGAACATGACTAAAGACTGTGTGTACACTATCCCATGCAGCTGCAGGAAAGGAATATAAAGGGAGACAGGCCGCCCCCTCAAGGTAAGGCTTCAAGAACGCCAGAAAGCTGTAACACGAGGGGAAGTAGAAAAATCAGGCGTGGCTGACCACATATGAGAGAGAAGGAGATCACCGCCCCTGTTGAGATCATGTTGAGATCATAGACAGGGAACACCATTGGAAAATTCGTAAACTTAAGGAATCAGCACATATGCTAGGCCACAAAAATCTCCTGAGCCGACCAAGCATAGAAATAAATACAATATGGGAACCAGTAATAAGGAGTGCCAGAGAAAAGCAATGATAACAAAGTTGCAATATGAACTCTGGTAAAGACATGCAATGATAACAGCAAAAATTGCAATATGAGCACTGGTAAAAATGATTTGAAAACATTAGGTTTATAATACTCAGAAGTTCATACCCAGATGTCCTCAAGGACACATGGCACAGTGGATAAGGTTAGGTTGACAGACCAAACAGAGTTCTCTTGGTTAAGGCAGTGGAGAACTTTCAGAGGAAAATTAGCAGGAGATAACTGATAACTGACATCCATCAAACTTGGCACGTGGAATTAGAAACAGTCTACCCCAGTGAACCGAAATAAAGGGTTCAGTTCGAAATTCCAACCACCTGAAGAAGGAGGGGCGTACAACGGCCCGAAACGTTGTGACAAATATGGCGACAAAGATGAGGACAATAGTCTGACTAATGTAAATACTGAACAATGACCATGTCTTTGATTCACAAACTTTCAAGTGACTTTCAAGTCATTGCTACTCTTATGGATGACTTCTTTTGATAAATTTGTTTGCTAATTTAATATAAATGCAAAAAGTGAAAACAGTGATACAGTCCTACAGAAAAAAAACTGCCAAAATAGTCAATCATTTAATATACTTTTATTTGTAATAACAAAATTTCAAGTTTTACTAAAAATGTCACAGAAATGCTTAGTTTTCCATTTGGATTTTCCATTTTGGATTGCCAGGGAGTGCATCAGCACCCCCAGGTAGCCTATGTCACCTCCCCGATCTCACAGTGGGTCTTTTAGTTCTCATATATGAATGAGCTTGTCTCAGCACATAAGATATGATGTTTCTTGCCCAAGGAGGAATTCTGTTGTTTTGATTTTTGGGTAGATAAAACATGTACACTCAGGCTATTATGCCTGTATCTCTTATTCTGGATTATTTGTCCATTAATCAAGAGTGCTTAAGGTAAACTTTTTCTGGGTTTTGATGTTATCCGCCTGATAGTCAGGGATCCAAACCTTTGAGTAACTTCAAAGGGGGCTATCCTACCAGCAGGTGTATAACATCAGGGCTATTGTACTGCCATTTTGTGAATGGTGGGATCTCTCAATGCCATAATGAAGTGTACTGTTATGGCAATATCTCCAAACATTCCAATCCAGGGTATAGACATATGCATATCCTGTTGGCATGACTGGGGGTGGGGTATGAGTAAATAGCATAGTACTTGGACTGTAAAGGTTCTTTTACTATTGCCAGTGGTACAAGCAATGTCTCATACAACTGACCAACAGAAGAATTTGTTATATCCTTGGAATGTAGAACAGCATACAACTGCAATCCTTACTTGGAATATCATAACAATATGGCATCATAGATAGGATCTTTGTAGAAGACCCAAACTTTGGTAAAACTAAGATAAGGTGCTTTGTGGCTGTTGCTAAAACAAAGAAACTATAAGACAACAGAATAAATGGAGGTGAAAATGAAGTCACAGATTTGTTACTGTCAAAAGCTGGTTATGAAGTGGTTAGGAAGATTTTGTTTATGACTTATTCAACAGAGGTGGAAGAATTGACATTTAACCAAATCAAAGAGATTATTTTAAGGAATATTTGACCAAGTTCTTGTCATAACAGCAAGAATGCAAGGAACCCATTATGAAATTTCTTCACTGGGTACAAGATGCCAGTAGATTTTGTGAATTTCAACATTTAGGACAAGAAGAAATGCCTATTGAAGAAGAATTGATTCAACTAAGACTGATAAAAAGTATGTACAATACTTCATATAGATTGAAAATGTTAGAACAGTTGCACCAAATGTTGTTAGAAGTATGTATTAAATTTATACAACAGGAACAGTTGATTGAAAAAAAAATCAATGAGGTAAAAAATAAACCCAAAATTATAGATTTATAAATGATAAAGAAAACAACAGTAAATTGTAAATATTGTAATTATGAACATAAAACAGAAATAAATGGGGACAAATATGTAAAGATTGTAAAAGAAAAATCATTTTCAATTGGTATGTAAATTAAAAAAGAAAAATATAAAATGTGTTGGAAAAATGGAGGACACTTTAAAAAGAGTGTTTTTTTCTCAATAGAGAAGAATAAAAGAGAAAATACATTCATGGAAATTAAATTGAATTGGATAAATTTAAAAATACAAATTGATACTGGCAACAATGTAATGCTGATTCTGAAGAGCTTTTGGGAACAAATGGGTAAGATGAAACTATATAAAAATCATTTAAAATGAAGACAGTTTGATGGGTCAGACATTAGGATACTTTGAAGGAACATTTGAAATGAACACCAGGACCGAAATTGTTACTATTGCAATTGTGGAATGTAATAAAAGTCATGGTTTAATAGGAAATAGGAACAATAAATGCTGGTTTCATAGTCAGAATGCTTCCAGAAACAAGCAATAGAAATGTAGAAAGACCTGTATCCATGTTTTATGGATTACACAAAAATTATTTGATAAAGTACAACATGAAGAACTTCTTAAAATGTTAGAGACATTTGATCAATCCACAATCTATTGAGGGAACAAAGGGTTTCTTTTCATGATCATTTCACCCCCAAACAAGGCAATAAAGTCACTAAGATGCAAAGAGGTTACTGAGTGTGAGAGAATACGAGAAAAAGAAAACATTATAAAGAAAAAAAAAGAACAGGAATTAAGAAAACAGAAGATAACAATTGACATTGCATTTAAATTTTTGATGATCAAAGTTGACAGAAAAGCAAGAAAAGTCAGAAGAGAGTTCCACAAGCGAGAAGTGTGAGGGAAGAAATTGTTTGTGTAGAACTTCCAGTTACATCTAGCCATTTCAACTGTAGAAGCCAATCTAGTACTGCTAATCTAATACTCTGCTAACTTTATTAATAAAGTCTTGGTACCAAAAAGGAAAGCTCATCTGAAAAATTACCATGAAAATATTTCTAGAAAAGTCAAAGAGAAGTTACGTTATGGTGGTGGGAAAGTTTGTATTGTCGATTCTAGTATCAATTGTTTGTCATATTCAATAATGCATGTTTAAATGAAAAATTTCAGTTGAGTTTATTGCATTCCCTTTTGCACTTGAGGAAGATATGAATCCATCTCTTCTTTACCCTGCTATGAGTTAAATAGCAGGTGAAATTGGACTCATTAGCCTTGGTTAGTAATGAGTCTGAATTCAAAACCTGTAATAGAATATATATTATATGAATTTTAACATTCTCGTTTTTTTTATTACCATCTTATGGAATTTCTGTAATTATAATAATATATTGTCATTTTAAAATTTTTATTTCTTTTTAACAATTACCACATTTCTAATTATCACTTGTTTATCAAACAAAAAAGTAATCTGTTTTGTGAATTGTTATAATTTTAAAAATAGCAAGCTGAACACTTTTAAATATGTAGTATAAATTATTGATTGAAATAAAATGTTTCTGAAACCTTTAACAAATTGTCTTTTTGTTGTATAATCCAGATTATATATGTAACACCTCATCATCATAACCGCAAAAAATGCAAACATAGAAGTTAAAGGCGAAAACGTCCGGATTCATGCAGAGTACTTTCCCCTTTGTTTTACCGCCTCCCTTCTTTATTTAGTCGATTCTCCCTCCTCCAACTGTCTGTTTGCATTTATCTCTTTCAAACTCTTTCTTTTTCACTAGTTTAACTGTTTGTTGCTTCTTTCTGGGTATTTTTTTTATTTATTTATATTAATACTAAAACAGCAGTTACTTTGCAATACCGAGGGAGAGAGTGAAGATGGCGTTGGTCCGAGCAACGAGGGATGCCTTTCTTTGGTGCATGGCAGTTATTTACTTGTTCGCTTTTTCGTCATTTTACGTCCAGATCCCAGGTGAGTGGGGGAATCTCTCATCATTGTCGTCATGTGCTATTTAACTTAACTGTCCACTTGAATTTCTTAGGAACACACATAAAAAAAAAAAAAAAATGATGTAGGTATTTAGTTGCAGTAGAAAAGCACTTGCTACTACAGATTACGCACCTTATTTTGTCACTACTCATGAGCAAACACCAATTTGACTTAAAAATGACTTTTCTATCTAGATAAAATCTTGAAATATCTTTTGAGACTCTTTATAAAAGAAATTTCCGCCTACATGTCCTTTTATTATGTTATTGATTGTGTGCATTTTTTTCTTATTAATTTTCCCTTTGCTTTCTAAATGCTAAAAGTTTGTTTTTTTTTTCTTTTTTTTTAAATAAAGGTACATTGCCATTTACAGTGAGTAACTGTTATTCTGTAAAATATAAAAGTTCATGTATCTGTAATAATAAAAAAAAAAAAATTCTAAAACGAAAAGCATGTGCTCCGTCATTCCCACCTCATCACGACCGTTCTTCTGGCTTAAAAATTAACATCAATAATTGTCAGGCGTGTTGGTTTGTTTAATCATTATCGCGGTATAAAGAAATTTTCTCAGACACCTTATAAATTTAAAAGTTTAAAACTATCCGTTCTCTTACAATTGCTTTTTAATTCGATTTCAGTTGTAAAAAAAAAAAAATAAAACAAATAAATCCAAGGAATTTCTGATTAAAACTTTATTTTTATTGGAATTTTTAATTTATGAATTTTGATTAAATTAAAAATGTATGAAGAGGTACAATTTATTTTATAGCAGATTCCTTACTGAGAGGCACAAATTTACTTTACAGTTTCTATTTACAATATCATTCATAACTTTTTTAAAAATCAAAATGTATTTTAATTTTTTTTCTCTTGTGGGAGATAGGAAAAAGGGAGTTGTTAAATTACTGACAAGAAGCATGTGGGTGTGCAAAGTTTTTAAAGACCTCAAAAATGCTCTATTTGGAATTCCTTTAATAAAAACAAATCAGATGCATCGCATCGATTTATTTCAAATAGTTCAGCAACTGATTTTTTACAGAACTTTTTGTAAGGTGTAAATATTTTTTATTTTAATAGTTAAATAGAATATTTTCTTTTAATCTTGGAAATAAATTCTTATGTACGTGGAATTGGCAGTGTCCACCCCCGCCTAATTTAAAATTAGAAAAATATCACCGCTTTCACTCTGACTTTTTTGTGGAAGAGCTCGGGATATTTTTACTAATATTTACAATAATACTGAGGGATAAAGTTAGGAATTAGTAGTGCTTATTATTCTATATAATTAGTAAATTTAAGATATTTCTTAGTTCTTCAATGTTTATTCATAAGAATATTGTTTTGAAGAGAAACAAAAATTCTCTTTAGATTTATTTTGTCTTTGAGAAGTAAACCGAAATGTTCATTTTTTTTTTTTTTTTTTTTTGTCTGGAATTTTTTAAATGCCTATTTGAAATAATGACCGTTCGTTTTAGATGATTAAAAAAAACAAACTTCTCCTCCCCCTCTTATTTCCAGTTACAGAGTGACACGTGGAAAAACCGAGTAACTTTTTTTTTCTCACTGTTGTTTTTCCTTGATTCAGCAGATATTAATCTTTTTCTTTTTCTATTCAACTGAAAATATTTTCGGGCACTCGCTATTCATACTTTTAACATTAAAAACCTGTGCCTGAAATGATTGCACACCATATCCAGTCGTCCTATTCGTTTCTTTTTTTACGCTTCTAGACTGTGTGGGGCAGTGAGTGGGATAAAACAATCGTCCCGGGCTCTGAAATCGCAAATTTAAAGTAAAGAAGTTGAATATATCTCCCTCTAGTAACAGTGTCTGAACCCTTTTTAGTTGTCTAGTTTGACTTGCTTTGTACATTTTTTTTAGTGTAGTTAGTAACCTTGGAGATATTTTTTTGCATGCTTTCTGTAAATATTGGTATTTAGGTTCATTTAATAAATTGCACTTTTTGCAAACATGTCAAATCAATTTCTCTTACGTCCCCCGTTTGGTGGGCCTGTCCCAAATAGGCTATCACGTATTCATCTTGTGTACGTGCGCCTCAGACCCGGCGATTAAGACGCGTGTGTTGGGTCATGGAAACATTATACGAAAACTATCTATATCTATCATAAACTGTTTCGGTTTGATTGGAAATTATAATTATGGTTTTACCTAGAGGAAAGAGCAATATATACCATTCTCCAGTCAAATGTTTTGTGATTTAATTTATTTTCTACGTAATTACAAGGACATCGAAATGGCCTTTGAACTAAAGAAAATAACCTGTCTGTAATTAACTAATTAAAACGTATTTTTATGCATAATTTTCTGTGCGTTGAAAAAAAAATGTCTCTTTATACTATTGTCATTCATTGTCTATTCGTGAGAATTTAGTTTTCTCTGTGTTCCCTCATACGCGCCTTAAAAAAATAATAAAAATTTCACTAATTTTAATGAAAATACACTTTTAAAAAATTGTTGATTTTAAATGACTTAAAAGCCGGACACTTTTTGGTAGCATCATTTTCTCACGTTATGTATCTGAACGATTTTTGGCGGTACGAAATTGTATGACGAGGGGGAACAAAACTGACAAGAGCAGATTCTCGAATGAGATTAACATTCAACAATCTGTAATAATGTACATAGTTGTTAGTGTGAGAAAAAATAGCATCTGGAATCTTGTCTAAAAGTCACCAGGTGGGTCGAAAACTTTTATATTTAGATTTTTTAGTTAGTTCCTTCAAAATGTACACGTTGTAGATTAGTTGCACGTACTAAATTTCATTTTTGTAAATTAAATTCAATTTTCAAAAATACAAAAAAAAATAATCAAAAAAAAAAAAGACCAAACAAAACGTAACTACCTAAAAAGGAAAGAAAGCATGTATTTTCATTCAGTGCTTAGATTAAAAACTTGTTGATATTTTTTAGTCATTTTGGGTCCGAGTGTATATTTCTGACTTCGAAAAGCTTTTTTTTCTACCTTCCCAGACCGGTCGTAGTGGCACCCCCAGAAAGCATAGTCAGCATTGTTTTTGTTCTTTTATCAACATAAAATAACAAAGCTGAGTTTTGTTTGAGAGATTTTTTTTTGTCGTCTTAAGGATCAATCAGATCTGGTAACCTGAACCAGCATTGCAAATTTTAATCTGTCTCTCTCACACACACACGCACACACACACAACACATTAATTTGGAACTTCTTGCAAAAATCCAATAATTGTTGGATTTTAATGAAATTTTACATGTGTTCTACCCCACCCCATAATTTTATGAAAACTCGAGAAATTCAACGTGATAATTTTAATGACTAATAGTTAACATCTGAATTCTTTGGAGAATTTCAATGACCGATATTTTTTTTTAACCGGACTCCATCCTGCCGAAAATCTGCTCTTAATCAAAAAGAATCTTCACAAAGTTATAAACTTTATATAACTTTGTGAAGGATAGTCATTCATTTCAAATGTCCAAAAACAACTCTTCCTACTTGTTCTTGATGTTCATACACCTGACTAAGGCTGAAGAATGAATGAATGAAGAATGAATCAACAAATCTTTGTAGCAACATCAAGAACACAGTAAATTATGAAATCCAGTTCTTCAAAGAACATTTACATTTCTTATTTGTTAGCATCAGCAAATTGTTTTTCCTGTAAAATAACTTGCATAAATTTTGCAGTAAACCCATATAAGTCCAAATTTGTGTGCAAAGAAATTAACTTCAGTTCACAGACAATCGCCATCTCAGAAGCAGAAAACAAAATAATAAGTAGTTTTTATTTACTGCAGTCAGTATTAACGAATAAGCACAAAGAATATTTATGAAAGAGATAAGACTTACTCTCATGAATTACTTGGTGACTAGTTCATGCTAGAGAGAAAAAGGAAATCTATTTCCAGTACTTTGAATAATGTACTGATAGGATTTTAAAATAAATGTCTTGGCTTATTTGTGAAAACTGAGATACTACAGATACAGCAAATTTATTATTCATTTTAAACTAGAGTTGCATATTATGCCAACTTTTTTTTCATAAAGCTGGTGATTGTTTCTTGGATGTGTCTTATGTCTGACCAAACTGCACGATCCAGATGAAAATTTATAAGGGTTACTTGAGAATGTATGTGGTATTGGTGGCAGTGTGTGCTGCTGTGAACTTAGGTTCAAAATTTCTGTTTCTGTCCAGGCTGCATGAACCAGAATTGGTTCAATTGTAGACTTTGTGTTGGCATTTTTCTACTCTTGACTGAAATAATGTTCACTTTGCACTAATACACTTGGGAAAATAAGGAATAAATAATACAACTGACATTTAAAAAGAAATTTTACTTGCTGTACTAATTTACTGTATTTATTTTATTTTGGAAGGAGGAGAATGATTATCTTTTTTTTTTTTTTTTTTTTTTCCCCACCTTGGAAAATTTTTAAAATAACTAGTATTTTATTTTAGGTCCTATATGTTTCTGTAAATTTTTCTAAGGGTAAAATACATTTTAAATACTTAATTGCTTTGCACTGGTGATTCTGAGGGAATCCATATTCTTGGATCAAGTGAAGATTGTCAGTATTTTTTTTTTTTTTTTAAGTTGGTTAAGTCATGATGAACTTCTACATTTTAAGATATTTAGAATCTAGTCATGGATAGAATTCTGTGTGTAAAGAAAAAGCCTCTTGCAATATATGAATGTATCTCTTATTCTTGGAAACCTGTCACCCTACCAATGACTTATTGATTAGGCCACAAAATGGGTCATGACCTAACCCAATAAGATTTTGCAATCCAGACTCCCAAAAATAAGGAGAGATGTAAATTCAAATATAATTAGAGGCTTGCTTGAGCCCCCTACTTTTCTTGATTTATGCAATGGTCTTGAGTTGCTGTAAATAGAATTTAAGATGAATTACTTGAAAATTAATAATAGACAATGTATCATCAAAGATATTTGGTGATTACATTATTTCCTGTATACGTTTTGGA